AAAAACCTTCATTTATTTGGCTTCTAAACCGTGACTCATGTCTTTACAACTCACATCTTTCCCGACAGAAAGGGAAAGACAACGGATAGAGAGGGATGGGCAATCGTGAGAACAGCAAGAAAACAACGAACGAGAGAGTTGGAAACAATGCAGAAAAAATTAGTCAAAGATAACATAGCTACGTCGTCTCTAATGAGTTTCTTGAAAAAAGAACGCGAACTACGGGGAAAAGTTTTCTTCTCGCCTTGAAATTACGTGTCGAAATCGCGCGTTACAAAACAATGAAACAATGAAGAACGAGTCGTTGATGATGAATAGATTATTTTTAAAGATAAATTTTTTTATCTTTTTATTTTTTATTTAAGTTGTTTATTTAAATTTTTTTTTAAATTTAAATTTATTTTTTTTAATTTATTTAAATATTTATTTAAATTTCTTTTATCTTTTTATTTTTTTTATCGTAGAATCTGTTTATTACTAAAAGATGGGAGGAGATTGTAGCAAGCGGTGAAAAATATCTTTATCGAAACAATTTTAATAAATAATAAATAATAAACAATCCATCCATCGTTAACCCTTGAAATTAACTTGCTACGTACTAAGGAAAAAAATAACCTTGGTACCAGATCGGCATTGAAAAGAAGGACTTGTAACAGTAACAGCGTTAGAAGTAATTCGTTACTTCCCGACTCTTGTAGCAATATATCACGTTTCTTTGTCTACGCTTGCATCTATTGTACAAAAGACAATATACATTTTACTCGAACGTCTTCATTAAGCGTATGTCAACTTTTTCCTCGAAAACTCGTTTGTGAATGAAACAGGAAAACGCTATACCACAGGTCCTTCGTGCGAGGAATATACTGTAGTCCAGCTGGCGAAACCGTTACAATCGCGAACACGTGTGCGCGGAAAATGACACTTATAAAAATACCACGTGTTACGTTTCTAGCCGGAGGTAAGGAAATTCCGAAGGAAACAGTTTCGAGTCCGCAGGCTAGATCTTCCGATACCTGCCAAGCGTAAAGTGTTACGTTGCTATTTTATTTTTCTCGAAAGATATATTATTTGATTATTCATCATTTTGCTTTTTGTTGTCGCACATCTAGTGTAAACTTCGCTGTCTCTAATATCTCTTACTACTTTCTCAGTTAATACTAGAACTACTGTCGATTAACGCAACTTATTTCTACCTTAGCCTATTTTTAACCAACCTTTCGCAATGGCAGATTTCGAAAATCTTAAAAATATTAAGCAAAGGTAAGATGTTTATTCAATTCTTTTATTTCAACTGCAAAAGATTCTGTTAGTTAAGCTCTTTTATTTTCCATTTGATTGAACACCAGTAGAGCTTGCGCTGAATAAATTATTCTTTATATCAGCTATTCACAAAATGCAGTCGCGCGAAGCCAAACCAATCGGCAAGGGACCCTTCAAGTCGCACAATCTAAATTATAACTTTTATTATATTTTTTCCACTTTGCTTTCAGTTTTCTCTTTTTATCTGAAATTAGTCGTATCTCCAAGACGCAGCAAGTTTCGTGTGCGCTGATAAAACGACGAGATGAGAGAGGGAGCGCCGACAGGGGCGTTTGAACCTGCAACGGTGCACGACGTCGTGCACAGCGATTAAACTTGTGCGCCGGCATGCACAATTAAATCTGCGTTAATATCGTCAAACGACGCGTGGCGAGGTGGCGCGAACACGTGTGTGCGCGTGATCGCAAAGGTCAGTATCCTGCTGGGAGACTTGATAGGTAGATACCAGGTGAGAATTTTACACTTTCATTGATGCTGAAATGGTCTTGGGTGGCACCGTAACTCTTCGACGTCAACTTCAAGATACTCGCCCCGTCACAAATAACAAATTTCAAATACAAATGCTGTTGCATAAGATAAAAAATAATTTTGTTAGCGTAATTGAATCTTCTTGTCTGAGAAGAAGAATAAGGACACGCGATACAAAACTCGATTGTAGGAATAGAAAAAGTCCTGCAGGAGGTTCCTGAATAATCAATTATTCTTACTTATTTCAATTGAGTTTTAATATAACTGAATATTCATGATGAATATTTCCAGTCACAGAGACATCATTTCTCATCACCGGATTTTTTATGTAATCCTTATTTAATTACCTAAACTGAGATTTTTTCCGTGTATCAATGTATCCGTGTATCAGGATCGACCAACAATATATAGCATTATTATAAAGCCTCGAAACTTCGGAGGATTGGAGTTCCGAAGCTTCGATACAAGAATCGATATTTTTCAAATAATAATAATTTATAATCTTATTATGAAATATTATAAATCGAAATCTGCTAACGATGAGAGTTAGAAAAATATAGAAGATGCATTTCGCACTGCGGAAAAGCCACCGCTAGTTTTGCCGCCGTTTCGACCGCCGTCTGGAATATTATTTTGGTATTCGACCGCGTTATTTATTGGTCTGCCTATAGGCGATCTGATTTTCGGTTGGAACACCGCCAAAACAGTAAAGACGGATTCTCCGTCCGTCGCGGTTTCGAGAAGCGAGTGCGAACGATGAATATTCATTCACTATTACTCGTCACGATATAGATGGAATCATTTAACGAAATCGCTGTTAATTTGCGAGAGGTAGCAAATTCGCTCTTCAATTCTCCAACTATCGACGTACAAAAAACACTCTTAGTTGAGCGGCTAGAAATGGATTTTTCAAAAATTTCAAGCTAACGATAATGAGACTCATAATGACTTCATCGACCGATTTGATCGGCAAACAAAGAGATGGTCCGGTTTCCCTCCCTTCATGACTAAATATTCCGTAGGCGTGGTGTGGCGTCGAACGAAATGGTAAATCACAAGGCGAGACGAAAGGGGCGTGAAGAGAAGCTTGCGAGAAAGCTCGAAACGTGGAATTTATAGATACCCTCAAAAGAGCTTTCGTCCGTCACAACAAACACGTCGTGGTGCATCCAACGCGGCGATTCATCAAGCACGCTCAGCAAGAGCGCGAGAAGAAGAGGAAGAGAGAGAAGGAGAGGGAGAGAGAGAGAGAGAGAGAGAGAGAGAGAGAGAGAGAACAAGAGAAAGTGTACGAACGAGAAAATGTAAAAAGGAAGAGGAGAGGAAGAGATATCTGAGACATTAATTTACATCGTAAAATCGTCAGCGGTATTAATTTAAGTTCACGCGTCTACGTCGGCTCGAGCAATAAATCGATGTGAACATCATCTATTCACGAATATTCGCGTTCACTGAGAGTTCAATCGCGCGAAGAAATAAAAACATGAAAACTTCTTTCTCGGTTCCTCGATTTCACGCGCGATCATCGAGCTATAGGAAAACAAACTGTTGCGTTTGGATTTCTACATTTTTGCCTTTTTATTATCAGCGAGTGTAAATTGAGATGATAGATGCGAGAGGTGAAATCGTTGGTCTGTTTGGTATCACAATCATTGCTACACGACAAAGTAAATAGCGCGATCTTTGTTCTTTGAACAACCAGCATGAAGTGGCTAAAGTATGAAAACGGCTTGTCAGGCAATGCTCTATTTTTACGTAAGATTTCGGTCTCGAAGGGATATTTGAAAGATGTATCGTTGTTTGTCAGAATACTCAATATTTTCGCTCCTTCCGTTTCCCCTTTTCCCACCCCGACATGTACTTTTCACGTTGCCGCGAGTGTTCCCCTATTTTCAGCCACGTCGTAATTCCCATCGTCGATTTTTCATCCTCGCTCCGCTTCCGAGTTGCAGGAGCCGGAAAAATGTCGATACATCACTTTCCTGACACATTTTGTAGCAGCTATTTTAAATCCGGACCCGCGAGACTTGTAACTTTGTGATAAAGTGGCAGTACAGAACGAATGATAAGCGAGGTATCATGCATTTCGGGTAAACACACATAATAATATCTAATTAATGGAGAATTTCGGAAGAAACTAAACTTAAAGAAATTTAAAGCAGAAGCAATTCAGTAGGATTAAGAAAAGTAGAAATATGCGAACAACGCGACGACAAATTTTTTAAGTAGAATTTTCAGATTCGGATAAGAGAACTTTTAAATAAAGTTACTTCGAATTCATAGGTCAGTTTAGATTTAAGTAAAATTACTTTAATTCTATCAATTTTCTTGAACGCCGAACGATGCATAATTTTAACGATAAAACTGCTTCGCATACCGTTCAATGTCGTATACTTCAGATGTACGTCGGTTAATTCGGGAATTTGCGAATCTTCACGAAGTGAGCCTGCAGAATCGCGAATCATAGTCTGTCCTCGTGATTTTGGGCTCTCTTCTTCTCACTGGCGCTTCGCGATATAAATATTCAAGATAGGTCGTTCCTTACATTTTCTACCTCCCTTGCGCTACCATGCTCTACGGCATCGCCTTCCTTCGTCACCATTGGTTCCATAACCCCCGCTCTTCTTCCTTTCCATTGCCAAAACGAAGCTCACTGAAGTCCCCTATCTCGCCCGACTCTCACTGTTTATTCCTCTTGCCGCATTCTGCTTCTCGGATGTCTTCGGACTGTGATAGAAAATTTTAAAATTTATAAACTTCGCTAAAAGACAGGACATGCATATATCGAAGTTAGTATATCATATGTGTCTTAACATTGTGTCTTTACATGGTAATCGGGATTACTTGTACGATTTTCAACCTACCAACATATAATACATAAAGTTGGAATTTATAAGAGATTTTAGTAAATTATATTAATATTAATCAGCTTGCTTTGCCGAGCTAATCTCATTTGTGGAGATCTGTGATTAGCGCCAAAATTGTACATTTTTCATTAAACTTTGGCTGCTTTCCCTCTTTTTCGGAATGCATGATGAATTGGGAGTCTTCTGTTCTCTTCATGGTTCCCTAGTGACTATTCTCTCTGATCTCTGTGTCTCTCTCTCTCTCTCTCTCTCTCTCTCTCTCTCTCTCTCTCTTTCTCTCTCCTTCTCTCTCTCTTCCTTAGGTGGGTGGGTACGACCAGACAGCCAGGATGGATAAAAGAAGCCGTTCGACGTTGGAAAGGGAACTCGTTGGTAGGGACGCAAAGCCGAAGGCGGAGCTCCATGATGAAGCGAGAATGGGAGATCTTCAAAGTTCAGTGAAGCTCCAAGAGAAGCTGCAGTGACGCACGAAAGTGTATTGAATTCGAGGTCGAGATTTGTTCTTCGAGAAATCCGCGAAAAGAGAAAGAGAGAGAAAGAGAGCGAGAGAGAGAGAGAGAGAGAGGGAGATAGAGGAAGAGATAGACAGCAAGAGAGAGCAAGTGGGGAGAAAGAGAGAGAGAGAGAGAGAGAGAGAGAGAGAGAGAAGAATAAAAATTTGTGCGGGTAAGTGTTGTGGCACGTGACACCGATACGTTGCATATTGTTCCGTATCTGTATCTGTAGTGAGCGAGATAAAAGCAAAGCGCAGACAATCACAGAGCTGAACCGCCGCGCCGTCGGTGCGCATCGCCGTAGGCGTCGTTGAAGTGCGTGCCGTCGCGCGGTAACTCGCGCCGTGTAGCGCAGGTGATGCCCTTAATCCAGGAGGACGGATCACAAAACTGGAACCGAAACTCGTCGTTTCCGGCGCGCAGCGATCGCGGAACGAGGCGCGATGCGCTGAGGAGGCCAACGTGCCCATGCTGCCTAATGGGAACATACAGACACCGTCGGAACTGCCGCCACCGCCTGCGCTTCAAGTTTTACTGCAGCCTCAGGCTTCCGTACCGATCCAGGTTCAGACTCAAGTCCGCGTCAATGGCTTCTACCTCATGGAGTCCGGCGACAGCTCCAGCGCTTTGTACAGCGCTGGCAACAGCTCCGCCAGCACGTCGCCGGCCAATTACGACAGCATCACGCCACCAGGATCGCATCTGATGGACCTCAGCAACCAGCCGGAGCACCGCAATCTATCATCGAATTATCATCAGCAGCAACCCCTACATCCAACCGCTCATCAGCAGCACCATCATCCAATTGATTATCCGCAGCAGCCTTATGTTTATGAGAACCTAGAGGAGAACAAGAAGTATCACAATCCTCATCACCATACTTCGGACCATCCGGACGGCAAGATCCTGAGGGATCTTCAGTCAGACTACAATCGACGGATATCCAATAATACGGGATCCGAGTTATTGTCAGACTACAACAGGAACCACGAGCAGCATATGTGCGTGACTCCGCCGTCGCAGATCTTCGCGTCTGGGAATGAGGACATGATCGTTTCTAATAGACCGCATCAGTCTCAGAATCAAGGATCTTACCGCAATCACTCGAACATGACAGAATTCAAGCCAGAGGAGATAGCATACAAGAACGAACAGGTGGTCGATCAGAGGTACGGTTATCAGCAGACGGAGCTCAACGGTCATGTGACGGAACCGTCATCGACCAAGAGCTACGCGGCTGAAAATGGCAGGTCGCCCGCGAAAAGAAAGAAAAAGTTCGTCAGCACCAACAACAACGAGTCCGAGTACGAGTCGCACTCCTCGATGAAGCTCAAGGTACGCCGAAAAAGTAGCGCGAGTATGGAGGAGATTCAAAATCAACGAGTGATGGCGAACGTCAGGGAACGCCAAAGGACACAAAGTCTCAACGAAGCTTTCGCCGCTTTGAGATCCGTCATACCAACTTTGCCAAGTGACAAACTGAGCAAGATTCAAACTTTGAAACTAGCCACGAAGTACATCGAGTTTCTACATCAAGTATTACGCAGCGACTTGGAGAAGGATGATGGCTCAGAGAACATTGGTAATATATTCCTTTGTTTTTACCTTCTCTCACTTCTCTTCAGATTCTTTCGCTTAATCTCTACTTGCTACTATGTTTCATCTCCTAGTCAGATTAAAGGCGCTCGTCTCGGGTTGTGTTTGTCGCAAGCCGTTAAAGAAATTGTCAGATAGGTCTCAAATAATGTGTGAAAATAAACGCTCTGGATTTATTGTCAGCAATAACAGAGACGTTGTCGATAGAAAGTACAATCTCAAAAGAAATGCAGGTAGCGTGTTTTATCATATATTTTTATACGTATTTTTCATATATAATATTGTATTATATAATTCTATATAATTCATATAATAGTAAAATATAAATATACAATACAACATGTCAGTATGGAAATTTAAGATTGTCATATGAATTATGCGAAATATCACGACAAAGTAACAGCTGTGTGATATAACGAATATAAATTGATAAATTGATAAATATATGATGAATTGATATGATTTATTATATAATTTTTTATGTTCCTTTATGTTTCTTTTTTAAATCAGACTTATCTATATACTTGTTACTTTATCATCAGATTTCATATAATTTAGTCGACATTTCTGAGTATTTCGATCGAAACTTCATATCGAAATACTTACCGCGAGTTTTTGTCTCCAAATCACGTATTATACGAGGATCGTTTCCATCGGTACTTTCGGCGATCATATAATTCTTGCCAAAGAGCGGAAACGAGAAAAGTTTCACATTTCCGTCATTCGAAACATTAGGTGTTCGCTAAAGTCGTTGAGTTCGCCCGTGGAACTTTTCACTTTTCATATTTTGATTGCTAGGAAAAAGTTACATGATCATTCTATCCTTGAGAAGTATATGTTTATATAAATTGGAATCCGGTCTGTTTACAATGTAAGGTGAATAAACAGATCTTCACTAGCGGCTTTCTGCCATTTACAAGCTACAATGAGTTCAGACCGACTCACGGAAGCTTGTGTCATCATGTGTTGTATAAGTGCTCTCAACGAGGTTTATGCTTCATGTTGCTTTCATAATATTTGTAAATTCTTCGGAACAGCATATGGGTCTCGTTTCTTAACGTTTCGCGTAACTTTCATTCTATTTTTCAAATAGCAAATCGATTCAAATGTTTGAATAATATTTATTGAAACTAAACAAAACAACTAAACAAAAACTAAACAAAACAATACATATCGGCACTAAAATGTGATTGAATTCCGTTAAACCGAATTCGGTCCTGCATCTGAATCTTATTTCTAGGCCGAATCTTTTTTCGTATATATTTGGATCTGAATAATTTATATTCAATTATCCGGATTATCCAAATAGTGCGGTTCTAAATTACAGGGTCTAAATCGATTTCCGATATGCAGATAGTTAGACATTCGAATACTTAGAAGTTCTAGTAACGATAATAATGTATAATAATAAAATATTCACCTAAGAATTTGAAAGCAAATATTCGTGAAGTTATTTTCGCAGTGACCGGAACGTTTGGTATTTATTCATAAGTTGTTCATAAGAATGCATCCATAATTCCGAGTGGCTTACGGTACTGAGATGTTAAGGACCGGAACCAGCACCGATTGGTGGTTCTCGGCTCTTGCGACGAATTCACCGGACGGAAATATATCGCGCGTTTCTTTTATTCGACTTGCTTCCTCCTGGCTTCTCGCGATACTGTAATGCCAGTGCTTCCCTTTTATTTTCGACCTCGCATTATACGCAGACAGAATTGTCACCCCCTCGAACTGTCCTCCCAATTTTTACCGTCGACTCTGCTCTGCTCTCTTCTCTCTATTGCCGTCTCTTCATCGAGACAAATAAAAAATGTTGACGTCTTAGAACTATCCCTCCTAAAGTGAATCAGTAAAACTGTTTTCGATTGAGTCAATGGAAGTTCAATAGAAACGTTCCCACTTTACTGCTTTGTCTTTTATTTCAATAATTTTGAGTGGAAATGAAATTTCGTCGTAAAATCTGTGCACAAATTCATTATATGTTATGTCAAATCCCATTTTCTGTGTTTGCAACAATCGAATTAGGGTGAGTGTTAATCCAGTTAGTGATCAATAACCTTGTTGTAAAACTTAATTATTATTAGGAAAATTAATAAATTAATAATATAAGTGTTAAGTTAAAAGTATACCAAGTTGATTTTGTTTAAAAGTTTAAACAATTGGTGTTTTAATTGTGTTATATTTTCTAGTTTATGCAAAAATTCATTTATACTTCTTCATAGAGAAATAATTGAAGTACTATTTAATGATATAACAACAGTTCAATTTTGTTTTCCTATCAATTTTGTTTTAAAGCAATTAAAGAATAACGTCATAGATCTAACATAAATATACATTTGATATTAATTACCAACATTTAAGTTAAGTCTGACAGAGATTCGAACTGTCATGGTCAGTAATACGCTTGCAATTATGATGTTCTAACATTTATTACAGCTATTATTTTATTCAAAACTTATTATAACCGATAACATATAAAATTTAAAACAAATATACATGTTTTAGGATAAATGGGAATTTTTTCTTCCTCTCTCTCTCTCTTTCTCTTTCTCTTTCTCTCTCTCTCTCTCTCTCTCTCTCTCTCTCTCTCTCTCTCTCTCGTATAAATTGATTTATTAAGGAAAACGAATGCAATTATTACAAATTAGAATACTGTTATTAATTAAAATATTAGTTTAAAAATTTCGATATGCTTTAAATGCGATGTCAATGTCTGGATTTGCAAACTGTATTAATGATGACAACGTTACTATTATTAACTGATCTTTTCAGCGGGCTCTTATTAATTTCATCGTTATACTTATAACTGAATCATTAATTACAGATATAGCATTTCAGTACAGAATACATTGATTGTGCTTTAGAGAATAAAATTGAAATTTATTCCGTCCGCTAAAATTTGCTACTATGATCTCAGTAAAAAAAGTAAGTCAAAGAAATTTGCAACGAGGAAAATCTCGGAGAATATGAAATTTATGCACACAATTTACCAAGTGATAACGAGGAAAATTTTTGTATTTCAGCAGGTAGAAGTGCCAAGAACGCAATTATAGCTGCGAGACAGAGTAGAGACTTACCTTGCAGTTATATGGCGCATGAGAGATTATCGTATGCGTTCAGCGTTTGGCGCATGGAGGGCGACTGGAATTCAAATACGTAGCATTTGGGATCGTGCAGACATATAAAAACGTAAGAGTTAAATTATCAAGATTAAGTGCAAGCACAGAATAAGGATGTGGCCACAATATCGCACTCGTATCATTTTTCTATAGTTGTTTTTATTTTTTTACTAGTAAAGGGATTTCTTGTATTAATTCTATCGGCATAAGAAAGCTCGAATAGTTGCTATACTTTGAGTGTTGTTATACTTGAGGTAAGCATAAGCTTAGAAAAAAAACAAAATCTTATATTATAAAAATATTATACGATATTTTATTGTATATTATGTATTATTGGAAAGCTAAATGGTAGCGGCATTTCTTTACAGTTAAATTTTAAACATACTTTCTGCTGACTCAGACTCAATAAATTTTCCTAGTAGATATAAGATGCGCTTCAATACAAATTGAAGGAAAAATTAGCGCTACCATTTAGCTTTCGAATATCGTATATATGAATCCAAAATAGTCGGAAATATTCATTACTCATTCTTATATATTCCACATGCTGATAAAACACGATCGATGAATATGGAGCTTCTCAACATTATGGTAGAAAACAATTTTAATAACATATTTTTCAGCTTAAATCAAACTGAAAATTCTCACATGAAAATATTAAAGTCTCAATAATTCTTAAATTATAAGCGATTAGTGATGATTAATTTTTTAATTATATACATAAATATAATTATATATATAATTATTATAAATTAAAATATTTTTAAATTATAATAATAATAATGATTAACCAATTTGCCAAAGACTAAAGTTCAAGTTTCGTGAAATAGACAAACATGCTTACAGTTAGACATACATGTGTAATTTATTTTATTTTTCTGTCTCTTTCAATATGTTTCCTCTAGTTATATAATTAGAATATTAGAGTGGCGATTATAATGGAAAACTCGAGAACTTTTAAATATATTCGCGTGGAGTTATTTTCTTAGTAACTAAACCGTTTAGTATCATTCGTTAATATATAAATGTTGTACATGAACAAGCGGCGGAACAGTACGGCTCTTACTTGCCATTCCTTCCCGCGTTCAATTTTGTCTTCATAAGAGCCGTTAAAATTGTTTAGCATTATTTTCTTTGTCATTTATTCACACAGCACACACACGTAGCACACACACAGCTGAAATATTTCCGCCTATTTTCTGTTCACGTAGTAGGTAAATGTGTATACGTTTTTCATAATGATACGATCATTAGGTTAGGACATTATTCTTGACACGTTCCATACTGCACTAATTTTACGCATGAAGAAAAACGATTGATCAGATTAACGTGACGATAAATGAATCGTATATCTTTCGAATTGTTTACCATTACCATGTTAATTTAATCAATGCTTCTTCTCCGTAGCCTGTTGTTCAGTCACTCATATTATTATATTATGAGGTAAATTTTATTCATCATATACATAACATAGGTCTCATAATAATTGTCAAAGTATTCCATGATTGTGTTTCGTTTTAGAGACAAAATATCAAATCAGAATATAAATGCAAAGTTCACACAAAGTGACCCACTGGGGTGGCATGGAACGTGTTAATCGCCTATATAAATCGATACTTTATAAGAATGTAGTGTCTATTATCGTTACAATTCGACGGTAGATTTTCTTATTGCCCTCTACTAACGTGGACAGTATACGCGATCGATCAATTCCCGTCGTGGAGTTTCGGAACGTGAGACGCATCCCGCGGATGGTCATCATGACTACGAAAACGTCGCGGTTAATGACGATCGGTTAATCACGTGTCCATGTGCGTACGGTTGTAGCTAGGTTGACCAAAGAGACAGTACCAAAGATATACAAGTGCCTGATGGTGGATAAGAAATATCCGTATGCTGTGTATAAAACTATTACAAAGCGGATTGATCTCACTCGCGCCCGAGCAATTACGCGCGGCGTTACGCTCTTCCGGCTCACCCGCCGACCCTTTGAAACTTAATCACGGCAGTTAATTTTGTCCCTGTTAATTCAGCGGCGCGACTTCGTTGATTCGCTTCGTTAGTCGTTATCTCGCTGGCTCATCCACTCGTCGCAATAATGTAAGCCAATAATTTACGTCTTCTCGTCGGACTATTAACGGCGCGACAACATGGTGAAGTGCGTCGTCGGTGTCGGTGTCGGCGTCGTGTAAAGCGCGCTTATTAGCCGACCCGGCGTTACACCTGCATTAATCAGCGAAATTATCTAGTCAGGAAAGCTAGAACGGTCGCGACACGATGAATTTTTGTCGTCATGCGCGAGCTTGCAAGCTCTTCGCCCTTTCTCTCTCTTTTCTTCTTTGCCTCAACGAAGATGTTCCCTCAATAGACGTCTCTCGTTAAATCTGATGCATTGCATTGCATTGCACATGCATATTCTGTTCATACACATAAGAAGCAAAATGGAAGCGCAAGTAATCGTCGTTTGAAGTTTATGATGGTACATTTTTTAATATTTTCACCGCTGCGACGGTCTCATCAGTGGTCAATGTCACGATACTACATGGTTCATGAAATCACGGTTTCCGGAAATTTTAAATTTAATATTTTCTGTTATGCAAATAGTTTCTGCTTTCTTCCTTACGAACATTTTTCAGTTTACACCGACGCCATTTTCCGCGTGCCCGACGATGTTTTAATCATCGTTATCGGGGATAACTCGCGGCCTCGAGACTGAGGAAACACTCATAGGAGGGAGACGAGGTTGAGGAGGAGGGGAGAATATTAACGATCATTTTGGCGCCCATCGGTCGGGCACAATATTATTTTTTTCTTCCAAGATGACAGTCGCCGTTCGGCAACGCGCGCGCGTCCCTGCCTCTTCATCGGCGTAACGCATATAAAACACCCGCGCGGTACTCACGCACCGTGAACATTTCGAACGGCGTTAGTTATTTTAGACCGGTCAAAGCAAACTTTCGGCCGGATTTTAACCGCTTAACGAAGACACGCCGCGTTAAAGAGCCGCCTGGGCCAGACTCTTTATTGCGGCAGTGAATCTTTTCGCGAAAGGGGAAGAAAAAGGAAGCACGATCGTGGACGGAGAAGGCGCTCGAGTTCTCGCCAACGGCGATTTATTTAAAAATTCCGACTAATATGAATCTTACGCGACCGTCCTATAGTGGACCGAAAAGAGGAATCAATTATGTGTGAGTTTAATGCAATTGATTATATTCAATGTAATTTATTTATGCCGTTGATTAACGTTTCCGGTCCATCAACGAGTAACACACGAGTGAACTTTCCGCGACATAAAATTGATATTTGACTTTTTACCGCTCGAGTCTGACACATTTTCGAAAGTTATCGCATCGATGCAACGCGCATCGCGTAATACTTAGCGATCGCAATCGCGAATGTCAACGTAAACTTCAAATTACTCCCGTTTGTACTGACGAAGATTCAAGTAATTCGAGATCCAGCAGACACGTTTAAAATCTTCGCGATTAGCGTCGCGTCCGGCGGCCTCTCCGCTATTCCGCTAACGTTAATTGGCCCGGGAACAACATTTATCAACGTTTCGGCCGGCGACAGTCTCAACTGAAACTCGAAGGCGGGCAAAACCGCAATTGCCTCAGCTTGCTCCCCCCTCTCTTTCTCTCTTCTTTTCTTTTCCTCTTTCTCAAATTTTTTATCTTTTATTTGTCACGCAACGCGCCGGTGCCGACCATAAATCTCTTTGAATTCAATTAGCCAAGACACCCAACGTTCAGCATTCTAGACCCTTTTCGGGAAGACCCCGATGACGCTCTTCGACGCATTACTACGTTTATAAAAACAAACCCGATCTTCTCTTCTCGCTCTCAGTGCACCACCCGATGTGTTTTACCCGTGTTAAATCGACGACCGTTATGCACACAAAGTCCTGTGGTTTTTTCGTATTTTGTACACATGCATTTCTGCATCTCAAAAATGTCCCATTTGGTCAGCTATCGTCTTTCTATTGAATTCTCCAGAGAGAAAGTCACGCGAAGAACTTGTCAAGTTGCAATAATTGTATTTCTTCGGCCGGTCTTCCTTAGAGTCCCGACTTTTTCGAATATTCTGTGCATTCTACTGGGGGAGGGCTTGAAGAGAACCATCGAGAATGACCGTGACAGCTGCTTCACTTCGTGGGGGCCTAGACGACGAGTCAAGAAACAGTACACACTGTCCAAGGACGATCCGAGAGAGGAAAAAAGAAAGAGAGAGCGAGAGAGAGAGAGAGAGAAAGAGAGAGAGAGATTCCTCTTACGTCGATGTAATTGGCGTTATTCCCAAAAATAATTTTACCAAGCGAGCGACTGAACGAATGAGCGATAAATCGGAGACTCATCATCTGTCACGGCGCTGACAAAACGTTCAACGCGTATTTACAAAACATTCTTGAGAAACTAATCACCAGAAGCGTAATCGATGTCGCCGTATCGACAGTCACTTGAAAACTTGAGAAAAACAAAGTTACGAAGATCAGTGTTAGGCATTAATCAACTGAAATTTTAGTTGTCTGATATAATTGGCAACTCAATCATCAAAATTAATCAATTGTGATATGTGTAATAATGAACAATTGGATTAGATTAATGAAATTAATCTAATCCAATTGTTCATTATTCAAAATTAATTTATTGACCAACCAAATATTCATACAAATTAATTAATAATCAACTATATATAATCACCCAATCAGAGTAATTAATGGAAACAATCATTGCATCATGTAATCATGACTATCTCAAACTTAATTTTGATTATCTTAATCAACTGAAACATTTTAATCGATTAATACTGCACACTAGCAAGGACAATGATAAAAATTGTGCTTAAATCACGAGATATTTTCAATTCGTTTATTCGAGTTCTTTTCAGCGGAGAAACGCACTTAGAATTAGCTAATATTGATTGATTGTCACGTTCATTTCCATCAATAGTTCGTCAAAGTTTAATCAAGACCCAAATAGTCAAGCTTACTTATCAATAATAAAAACAATTACACGGAAAAAACTTGATTAATGTAAAGCTGGTATCACACGATATTTGATTCTTTGCACGATTTATTCGTTCGTATATTGCTATGCATGTTCGGTGCATGCTAGCGTATGATTTAAATAATTTCTATGATGCTTACTTCTTTGCACCAATCAGTGCGTGGAAAATACAGCCAAATATTCAGACGAATCTTTTTACAACTGCGATAACAGAAAGATTATAATCTTTCTTCGTCATCGAGTTTTCGTTTACTTTCCATCCTGTT